AAGAGATTTATCTTAACTCATTACTCACTACAAAGTGTTTAAAGTTGATTGTATCACTTTTAACCTATTTTACTAACATACTACTAATGCAATATTACTCTTCACTTCTACAGTATCTTTTAAGCAAGGATCTCAAAATGCTTTATAACTATTAGTTTCAGTTTCATATGGTTAGAAAAAAAGACTACAATTTTGAAAATACACATTTTACAATATATACAAAGCTCAACCTCCCAACCAAATACGCAATGTACATTGCGGCTAAGCAGCTTTAATTTAACCAGCTTCTATTTGTTAATACATAATTACTTTGTAAGTGAAATTTATTCTTAATTTTCATTGGACATTAAACTTGTACATTGAAAAGAGATTTCAGAAAATCAACATACTATTACATAATCATCTCTGTAAGGGAGAATCATAGGGAAGATGGTTTATGATAACTTACTGTTAAAGCTTAGGTTTGACTTATTATGTTTCCTTTATATCTAGATAAAGTAGAAGTTGTTAAGCTCTAATAATAATACACTAAGGGCTAGGTGGAATCTACAAAGAAAGCATGCTATAGGAGCTCCTGCTCTTCTTCAATAGCCATACCACAAATGCAAAGGTCTAAGTGAAAAACCAGGAATAAAGAATTACACAATGTAGAAATACATATCCTTGCTCTCATACAGAAAGGGCCTGTACCTTCTTGAAAGTTTCTTGAAGGGCGATAAGCCTCTTGATTCTCATTTCTCCTTTATGGTGTCTGACAGTTGAACAGAGCAGAGTTGGTTGTTCTCATCTATTGGTAGGAAAGCCAACCGTTTTGACCACAGTTCTCATTTATCCCTATCACCTTGTTAACAATACAGCCTGTCCCTGAAGATCTGGGTATGGAGTCTTCAGAGACAGAAGCTCTGCCCTGCAAACAATATAGAATGATGTGGTGTCATTATCGGCTGTTATGAAGAATGCAGGCATTAGTATGCACTGGGGGACATGCAATCAGGGCTTCATCTTACAGAACTGTGGCTGGGATACCGTTCTATTTGAAGTCAACAGAAGTTTTGTCATTGATTTCAAAGGGAGCAGGATCTGGCCTGTACCTACATCGTATAATATAAATGCTCATGTTTAATTATATCCTAAAAGATGGCACGAATTATCTATATAATTCGAAGGGAAATTTTACAATGTGAAAATTCAGAAGTAAATGTAATTTGATAAGCCAAATACAGCCATATCCACTTTGTTGTATTTCTATTTGTATTTCTGTCTTTCAAAAACTGTCTGGAACATCTTACATCCCCTGTGAGGTGTTTACAATTAGAAATCTGGAAAAGCTTTATGGTAATTTAGGTGGCTGATTCAAAAAGATCATTATCTTGCTGTTTGTTTAAGCCAAAATGTTCAAATGTGGTCATTGGTTGTGTGTGTCCAAGTCCAGACATCTTGGGCCTAGTTTTCAGAACTGTTCAGTACCCAGAACTCCCACAGAACTCAATGGGAGTGATGGGTACTCAATGACTCTGAAAAATCAGGGCTTGAGTGTCTAATACTGGGCATCAAAAAGGTAAGCTTCAAAAATCATGAGCCAATTTAAAAATGTGTGGCCAGGATCATTAGCAGTAACAATAACCAACTAGATCGGTCTTAATTTTTTAAAAATAGATTTGTAAGAGTTAAGAATAACTTCTTTTGATAGCAACTGATTAACTGTTGGTTAATACTTTCTGTAGGAATGCTGTGTAACCCCTATAAAGTGCCAGCATAAACTCTGATTTTTTTCATGATCAGGGCTGTCAAAGTGCCAAATGCTCAGATGCTCTTATGCTGTAAACTGGCTCCCACCCCAACCACCATTTACTTCAGCGGCGCTATGTCGATTTACACCAGCTGGCATACTGATGTCTTTAATATCAGTTTTGTATTTGCTGTTTACTTCTGAAGGGGAAGTGCGGGTTTTCTTTTGGAGCATTTTGCCATTCTATCTTAGGTATCCAAATCCAGACTATTCTCCCCAAAGAAATTACTATAACCAAAGAATTCATTAATTATGTTGAATTCCAGGTTATCTTTAGGTAATAATTAGAAATGACCATTTATATTAAAATGTCTTTGGGAGTACATTTTACTTTCACAAATAGAGATCTCTGTTTTAATTAATCCAGGATTCTTGGCAATAGATTAAGATATCTAAAACCTTCATTTCATTTTTACAGAGAAAAAAAGACTGTAATCTATAGGTTTTTAAAAAAAGCTATACACATATTCATGTATAGTAAGAATAATTCACCAATTAGCCATTACTAATAGTCACAACAACCTCAAGTTCTTAGATTCAAGGTATTTGTTAGGACTGGTGTCACAAAATTATTCTTGAATGACCAACTCTATCTGAAATACTGCTTGATTATTGTAACTCTCTCTCTCTCTTTGGAGGGGAAAAAATCTGTAAACTCTTTGCAAACACCGGGCCCATAAAACCTCATTTTAGTTGTATCCATTATCTAGAAAACGAAGAGCCAGAATTAAGGTAGCATTTATTCTTGAGCTGCTTTCTCTGTATTTACTAAAGGCTAGATGCTCCTTCACCTTTGTTCTGGTGGAAGGGAGCAGAAAATGATGGAATTTGGCCACTGTGTGTAGAATAGGGGGTATTAAGTTTCGCATCACGTTCCCCCCAGTTTTACAGTTAATTCTAATGCCTGCTCCCCTCCCGAACCAGCAGAAATTCTTCAAGCAAGACCAGCGGGAGGTGACGATTCCATCATATTTGGCTTCTGGATTTCCTCTGTCCATGGAGAAAACAGAGAAAGGGGAGGAGGGGGCTGCTACAGAGTGTGGGAAGCCAGAGAAGAACACGGGGAACATCCCCTCTGAGGAGTCAGATTTATTTCTCCCATCGATCCAAACTCCTTGTATTCTTTGTGCACCTTCCTTTTCTCCCTTAATACATCCCTCCACCTGAGGATAAGATCGGTAGCAAACTCCATGAAGTGGAATCTCCTGGGCCCTCTCTTCCTGCGGGGTTTGCTTCAGGGACAGTACAATATGAGTCAATGCCATAGTTCCCCGCAGAGAGGACATAAATATTATCCACCACCAAGTGTAACGTCAGGAGAATGCGTTTGGATACGGCCTCCTGTGTGTTATCCTACAATCATTAAACACATTCAATCTTATAATGCAAAACAGTCACTATTATTACTTCCCACGGGCTATAAACTTCTGTCCATTCAAAACAAAAACAGAGAGCTGAGTGGTACCAAGCCCGACTGCTTTATATTGAATTACGCCTCCCCTGCCATCAGTTGCGCCTATCGGAGTTTTTCCACAGCTGAGGACCTGACCCTGTATTTTCAGCACTGTTGGACAAGGTACTAGCCACCGGTGTTTCTACACATAAACATCCATAACAATCGGAAATTACTTGTAAACAGTGAGTTTCCTTAGTTGCTCTAGATTATTGCCTCTCCCTGGACTCTGGACTCTATTCCATTCTTCACCCATTTCCCACACTTGCTGCCTGCTTATAAAAATCCTATTAATACTACTATATTAGCAGTGTGCATATAATACTGGCCTATAACATCCACGTTGATTGTCATGGGTACAAAAGCTCGTGAAGCTCGACAAAGCTCGTGAAGCTCGAACTGATGGTGATTTTACAGGATTTAAGCAATCATTGCCCATTATTTCAATAAATATCCCCCTCATTGAAACCTCTGCCATTGCTTGCTGCTCACATAGAAAAGGGATTGTTGGACAACTAAGATGTAGCTTACATATGGGAGGGAGGAATACATTTTCCTTCGATACTTCTGTTTTACTTTGTTTCCCCGATCTCCTTCATTACATATTGATGCATTAGTCCTAAAATCTGCATCTCAGCAAAAACACTGCTGAAGAAGAAAGTTCAGCCTCATTTTCCTTCTAAAATTTTAGACTTCATCGAGACTCCTTAGGAATATTGCACAAAGGACAGATAATTCTGATGTTAATGAGCCCTTGATAAATAACATCCAGATGATTACTCTGACAAGTTTCAACCTTTCTTGGTAGAGAACACACATAACATAAGAAGATCAGAATCAGTTTGGCAAACTCTCTTTTAGAGCGTTACTGTGCAATTATATTAGCCCGCAAATAATAAAATTTGAACAATACGTTGGACAATAAAGAGAAAAGCTCCCTAGACAATGAAATATTTCTGAACATTTCTAAATGTTCCATCCAACTAATTTTCATACCAGTAGAAACAAACATATTCAAGCAAGTATCAGAGGGGTAGCAGTGTTAGTCTGAATCTGTAAAAAGCAACAGAGGGTCCTGTGGCACCTTTAAGACTAACAGAAGTATTGGGAGCATAACCTTTCGTGGGTAAGAACCTCACTTCTTCAGATGCCTTGCATTTGAAGAAGTGAGGTTCTTATCCACGAAAGCTTATAGTCTGTTAGTCTTAAAGGTGCCACAGGATATTCAAGCAAGGAATTGATGCAAATGGAGTGAAATAAGCACCCACCTCTCTCACCGATTCTTTCTCCTCCTTTAGTTGAGAGTCAAAAATGGACCCTCCTGCAACTCTGGGGTCAGCGGGTAGAGACGGTACCAGCGGCCTGAGAAATTTAAATTCACTGGTGCCAGACCCAGTTGTCAAGCAAACCTCATAACAATAAGATTGAGGCAGAGTCCCAGTGCCGCTCGTCTCCGCAGGATTTGTGGGGAAGTTGGGGTCACAATAAAAGTTCCTGGACGATGCAATATACTGCTCTCGGCACTGCTTTCTCTTGTATAGCCGGATGGCGACAATTGTTACCACAGAAACCAGAAAAAGGAATGAAATGAAAGACAAAGAAATTACTAGATACAGGGTTAATGTGTCCTGCTGCTCCTCTTCCGGTACATTCAATAATTGCATGTAGGCGTCTGAAAACCCATCCACCAGAAGCACATTAAGCGTCGAGGTGCTGGATCTGGGCGCCGCTCCTTTTTCTATAACT